GTACATGTTGCAAACTGATATTTACGAACCTATTAACCGGGTAAGCTGCACAATGTCCCATCAACAGCTCTACAAGCATAATTAAATACGAATAAAGTGGTTCCAAAGTGATTTACGTCACATTAAACCGCAGGAACATTAATTTCCAGCGATAAATCAATTCGCCTTAAATTGACAAATTTTATGTTAAACGTATACGAAGACGAATACAAAGAAATCAGTTCATCGAACGAAAGTAACTCTAAAAAATAACTCTATTATATTCGTCGATTCAATATTTGCCGAATAAAAGCATTTCGCATGAAATTCCTACTTCTTTGAAATTTCGTGTGCGAAAAGAAGAATCGTTCAGCGCAGAAATTATTGCATCCAGTTCGAGAATACGGAAGCGTCGCGTGGGGACGTAATTACCTTGATGCTAAGAAAGCTTGTCCTTATCCCCACTCCTGGCTCGTTTGGAATAAGCAAGATTATCCGAGTCTGAAATTCTATTTATCTTCAGCCTGCGACTGCAAGCAGAACCGTTTGCACGATCTCGGGGCTCGCTTTGAAGCGGCACTATGTTGCTTTGCGAGACCTAATTCGCTTAATTAATGTACTATGTATCAATTAGCAGTAGCAAATCACACAATTTCGTGCCCTGTCTCCGATCCGACCTATTTGAATCGAACTTCCCTCGTCCGAATTCTTTGTCCTTCGTTAATTGAGCGATTCGGTTCCACAGAAATTCGTACGCCACGTAATTTATTACACAACTCGGACAGAATTTATTCCAACGTTATGAATAAATTCACTGCAATTTTTCCTTCAGTTTGTATACAAAAATGGACAATTTTGTACGATTATTCGAGCCTTGCGCTTCTCTTTTATAATTGTTGGCAATCAGCGACTATAAATATGAATCGCAAGGCTCGAATAATCGTATCTCCTCTCCCCAAATTGTCCATTTTTGTGCGCAATCTGAGCGCGAATTCGAGAAAAATTACTATAATCGTATCTCCTCTTCCCAAAGTGTCCATTTTCGTTTACAAACCAAAGGAAAATTGAGGACAATTTACTGTATTTATCCAAAGGTCCACGATCACCTTTTAATACAAAAGAGTTCGGTTAACGACGATTCTCTGCAGCACTTTAAGTAGCCTACGATGAAACAGAGCCAGTCGAAAACGCGACCTCCATAGACTCCGGTGCAGCGACAGAATATAATTCGCATTTTCACTCTCGTCTCCCCACTGGATGGAACTTCAAACGCGAACCCGCGGCACGAAAGTGACGACGATTTCGTTTAGCTTTACAAAGCCTGAATCTCGACTCCCAAATGTAGTTACGAAATTTTCATGCGTCGCGAGCTCGCGTCGTACACTGTTTACAAGCACGTTGCTTTGATTAAGCACCATGTACCGTGGCGAGGAGTAACTACGTTTGCAAAATATACACCCGAGATACGTTCTCTATTACCGTAAAAGTTGATCTACCGACGAGATCGCGGTCGAATCAAAATTCATATTAATTCGACCTTTCGTCCGATCTTCGCCCGAGCTGTCTACGATTTATCGAATCTTTCGTAAAATGAGACTTCTAATAAACGAATTTTTCATAAAATGAGACTTCTCAGGAACGAATGTTATCGTAAAACGAGACTTCTCGACGTTAATCCCACATACTTCTGATAATATAGGATCTATTGGTGAGATTTTGTCCTCGAGATTTTAATTGTCATAAGACGATTTATAACATTAGGAAAATTCATAAATAGAATTATCGTCTAAAGGTGTTCCAGAATTATGGTACTTCGAGGGAAATGAGGGATTCCTGGGTCGTGTCACGGGATCATTCGAAATAATTTCTTCCTCAGAGAAAATGCAATCCGCGGTTTCGTTTCCGAGTTATTAACGAAAAACAGTGACCAAGAGTAATCATAACATTTACAAAAAATCGATCTACACTCGCATCCCAATCTATCAGGAAATCCATCCTACTAGTCTCAGTAACTGGTCCAAAATTTTGCTATCGACCTAGGGAGACCAGTTACTGAGACTAGTGGAATGGATTTCCGGACATATTCGAAAAATCCCGAAAATGAATTCTACTAGTCTCAGTAACTGGTCCCCCTAAGTCCATAGCAAAATTGTGGACCAGTTACTGAGACTAGTGGAATTGATTTTCGACGCGACGAAGAACGTAGAAAACAATGGTTCTGATAATCAAGATTCTACAGAATTTCGAAAACGGTAGCATCCTACGTACACCGAAAGCGTCGGCTGACGCATCGCGATCAGGAACACCCCCGTGAAGTTGGTGGTGCCGGTGGGAAGGTGGATATCGGGCAGTTCATAGCGTTTCCCGTCCCCAGGGGGGAAGAGGCGCCATTAAAATGGTAATTTTATGGCGTATGCTCGCGCTTTTGTATCTCGGCCGCGGAAGAAATTGGCTGCAAGGTACGAATGCATCAGCCGGGAAGACGTTCCCGCGGACGGGTGAAAGGGAGCGGACCTAATCTCTTCGCTCTTTCTTCCCCAGCGACGAGTTATGGTTGTATTACGATAGCGAGCAGGATAAAGGACTACCCGGCCGCTCGCGAAAAGTCGAGTTACGTGCGGTGTCGGTGTCGCATACTGGTGCAGAAGCTCGAAATCATGGCGAAAGTCCCGAAAATCGAAGTTGTCGGTGGAGAGGTTCTAACCCTTTGACTACGACAGGCGTAAATGTACGTCCTTTATATTTTCTGGACTCTAATAACTTTGTTGTCGCGATAAATTATGTGTTGAACACGTTGAACGAAATTTATTGTTCATTATTAATATCGAATTTATTTTTGTTTGCGATTGCAGTAAATTCTCCCTAGTGGACGCTGAGATTGGACATCAAAGTGGACAATTTGGGAAGCGGAGATGCGATTACTCGAGCCTTGTGGCTCGTTCTTATAGCCACCGATTGTCGACAACTATAAAAATGAATTGCGAGGCTCCGATAATCGTATCTCGTCTTCCCAAATTGTCCATTTTTCTGCAGAATCCGAGCGACAATTAGGGAGAATTTCGGCAGCTATTCTATTCTATTTCGCTTCGTTTGCATCGACGCTTCTATCCGAGAGAGCACGTCACAGTCGAAGGGTTAACTTACGGATTGGCTACCTTAAATCACTCGACTTTACGATTTTAAATAATACGCGACTTCCGGGTTTGCAACCGGCAACTCATTGCCGCCTCGCCTCGCCTCGACCTCTTTAGAGACCGTAATTTTTGGTGACGTTTATTTTGCCCCGTGCTTTGTCAACGTCCGCGGTATCACCGAGTTTCTGGCGAACGCTGTGCCAAGCTGCCGCAGCGTTTGCCTGTCGGGTGAAAGGCCGCCACAGTTCTGCTGCATTGTGTTTCTAATTACACGCGCCGCGGACAAAAGAAGGAAGAGAATTTTAAGGCGGAGCCCCCGTTTTCGCGGTGGCGGTGGCGGCGATTGCGAATCGATTGTTCGAGACACTCGCGACAGCCGAAACGGAGAAGCGAGTTTGCTCACCGAGCCCACCGCTTGGTAAGGCAATTTTTTTACTGGGTCGATTTAATGCTGTCGAATCATATTTGATTCACTGTTTTATATTCGATTCTTTTATTATTATTCTTTTAAGTCGAAGCTCGAACGTTATTTTATAGAACTCTTAATTCATTCTTTTCATTGTCCGCAAATCAACTTGTCCGACTTGCATCGACTGACGTCATTTCTGCTTTTTCTTTCATATCGAGCAATATTAATCGCTCTTGAGATTATTTTGCATTGCATCGTATGTGCAAAATCTTGTCGACAAGTTGCATATTATTGCGCCATTTCGGTCGGATTGTTCGCAGCTTCCATTTCTGTTTTTTACAACACATGTGTACGTGAACGTCTGCGCGTCGATCACTAATTAAGTAGGATTCACAGGAAATCGCGTGACCGGAGAAACGATGGAGGTGCAAACGTATTCATGCAGGTAGTCAAAGTTTCTTATTTTACGCGATTACGACGAAGCGGAGAGTAAGTGAAATTTAAAACAGCGCAGAGATTGGAAGAACTCGATTCGAAGGAAGCACGATCTCGCCGTTTGACTTCGATCGTTTGCAAACGATGCAGAAAACGTCTATTTCTCGCAAAGATCCGCAGCGGTTGGTCCCGCGACCGTGAAATCCAACGCGGACAAGATCACCGACGCAGCAAGAACAGTTTCGCGAGAATAAGATGATTCTCGCGTTTTCCGTTCTTCGGATCTCTTCTGGCTTCTTTTAGCGTTTATCGCGCCCCCCTCGGCCGCCCCCCGCCGTCGCCTTAGGAAGTTCTCAGCGAAGATAAAAGCAAAGTTCCGCGAGTCTCGGCGCGGCTAGAGTTTCCGCTCGTTGTCGTCCGTGCGCGCACGCATAAATCCGCGGATTATCGCGGTTTCATATGATCCGGCGCGACGCGAGACGACGAGACGCGGCTCGCGGCGCGCCGCGAGGTTAACCCGAAGGAACGTGGTTCCCAACCGCGGTTTCGCGCGTTCGCGGTGGCTAATCCGAAAATCGGGCGACCGATTTCGCGAGCAACAATATTTGGCGAACGCTCGGCTCGCCACGTGTAAATGCGGACGCTCGCACGGCTAATTATTACCGCTGGAGCGACCGAGCTCCGGGAATAACTTAATTTCGTCTTTCGAGAACGACGAGAGATATTGCACGAGTCATTTTTATAGTTGTTGACAATCGATAACCGTGAAAAACGAGTCACAAGGCTCGTAATTCCAAAATTGTCCATTTTTGTGGACAATCTGAGCGTCAATTAAGAAGACATTGCTGTAATTATGTTCCTAAATCTTCTGACAAAATAAGCGTTTTTACCATTTTTGCATCCTACAATTACTGTCACGAGCGCATAAAAAGTCCAGAAGATGAGATACGACTTTGGTGCACGGAGTGTTTGGAAATATTGTCGCGGATTGCAACGCGCCGGAAGCGGCGCAATTTCGGATTACTTTGGGTCGATCTACTCACATTACCCGAAAGTGGAAGGGCAGGCCCGTTATAGCGGCAATCCTTTCAGACGTCGGACGCGGCGCACATTCAGTGACTCACCTGGAACACAAAGAGAGAAATTTAGGAAAGTCAGCGTTGATCGATCCGGCCGTCAAAGGATTTAATCACCGCCGGTCTGGCCGGGTCGGTGCCGGAACAGACGGAAACAGGCGGAACAGCCGCGGCCGCAAGATCGCAATCGCCGAAAACGGAATACAAATCGGCCGAGATGCCGCGATACCGATCGGCTCGCGACCTCCGCCGCGATTCCGATGAAAATCGTTCCCGATTTATTCCGCGTTCTACATTTTCATTAAACCGTTCCCGGCGTGTCCACGAATTAATTACGCGGCTCGATGGCGAAACACGGGGCGAACGGGGCGCCGGATAAAGGTTCGAACAAACTTCCGCGTGCGCCGGAAATCGATTAAAGGGACAAAAGGCGACGAGGACCGTCGTGGTTCGTCCCTCTCCCCACTTCTGCCCGCCTAAACGCTTCGTTACCAGAGAGAATGAAGCAATATGACGACGGAGAGATCGCATTATGGGTTTCCCCATCGCGAATTTGTTACGGCCGGGTTGATTGCCGGTTCAACTTAATTAGATTCTGGAGACGTCCGATTTTTATCAGCGGTTCTTCCCGCCCCCCGCTCTGCTGCGATCATGCGACCACGCTAATGCCACCCCGCCGCGCCGTATGGCTCCGATTTCAGGTTCGTTTTGCTCTATCTTATGGTGTTAGGAACGAAAAGGGTCGATGCATTTGATAGCGCTAGTTTGCTAACAAAATTACAGGAAGCAAATATTACCTTTTTGTAACTATTATACATACTTGTGATTATTGTAATGTCAAGTGTGACAAAATGTATCATGAAGGGAGGAAATATTAATGTAACATGGTTCATGCTTGTCTTAATCGAATAATAAATGTTTGTGCGTCGCAAATGATTAAACAAAAATTTATTATTTACTAGTGATAAATCCTTGATCGGTAGAACAGGGAAGAAATTTCGTTAATTTTTACGCGTCACGGCGTCGACTGAAAATCCAGCGAAAAGAGAATTCGATAGGAAAGGATTAAGCAGTTCGCGAAGGCTCAAGAAAGCCGAGAATTGCGCGAAATCGAAATTTAATTTCGCGAAATCGCGGCCTCTCTATTTCTGGCCCCCCCTTCTTCCTTCGAGCGATTGAATTTCGCCATTGGAGTCGATCCGCGGGATCAGACCAATTTGTCTGCGGAATCCCGGAATTCGCAGTTATTTTTTGGTCCCGCGACACGAGTTAAGTAACGCCCACGCCGCGAGAGACTATCGTCACGAACCACACGATTTCCGAACTTTCTCTGTCGCCGCGAACGTTTTGTCCTTCGGCCGAGCCATGAATATCGCTATTGCTCGTGACAGATCGTCTTAATAAATCCGATACTGGACCCGACTAATGGGACACGCCGTAAATAGACGCGCAAATGTCTACACCATAAATCAAGATTATTCAAGGAAGTTTCACCCGTTCCTTCTTCTTAATTCATAGAAATAAATCGACGATTTTCTTTCTCGTGCTTCGGACGGAAAACTATACATCGAAGAATAAATTATGCTTGCTGTTAGGATGCATGTCGAAAGGACAAATTATGCTGCCTTCGATGTAAAATCATTTTTACTTTACGTATTTATTAGTACTTCGACAAATCTAATCAAACTGTCAGTCACTTTTACAACGATTCATAATTCCTATATATTCAAACGAAAGAACAACTAATAAAATTAATAAAATGAATTCCCATTGGAACGCCATCGCAATTAATTATAGACGCAGCGGCTTATTCGAACGCAGAGTAAACAAGAATTTTTTAATCGTCGAGAATCGCGTCCATTTATTTCTCTTTCGTTGTCCAGTTCGTGAAATGGTTTTCGCGTTTCTACGAAAACAATTGATCGCAATTTCAACAAATAAATTGCACGTTTAACATCGAAACCGCAACGGACCTTCAACGAACCGTCGCGTCGTCGAACGTTCAAATGATCGAGCGAATTCGATATCTGTCCACGTTTACAGATTTTTTTCCCAGGGAAACCTCATTGCGGGCCGAAACGTTTCGCAAATGAATATTAACGAAACACGCGTAATAAATACGTGTGGTCGCGGCACGAAGTAACGTTACGCATGAATATTTGCGAGAGCACGGGGGCCAACGGGAAAATATCGCGGCGTGCGTTTGTAATTAGCGTAACGACGCGCGGGATACCGGGTTACACGCAAATTGCATAAATTCCAAACTTATCCAAATTACTGACCAAAATAATTTGGACGCAGTCGATTAGTACCCTGGCCGGGTCTACTCGGGCACAAGTTCAATCAATGTTAATAATTTAGGACGCGGCCATTGTAATGGACCGTGCGCGGCTAAACACAGTTCCCATACCAACAATCATGGCGGAACAAAGGCTATCTATATTCGATATGAAGCCATTCGAACACAATAAATAAACTTGTAACGACAATAGCGACTCTTAAATGCGACAAATAAATAAAATAAAACGTCCACGTTTAGAGAGAAATGTTTAAACTTGCAACGATCGCGAGCATATAGAGTAATATTTCCCTTACTGACGCTCGGATTGTCCACAAAAATGGACAATTTGGGAAGAGGAGCCTTGCGAATTCGATACTTGCAACTCGTTTTCATAGTTACCAGTTTTTTTCAACAGTTATAAATACGAACCGCAAGGCTCGAATAATCGTATCTCCTCTTCCCAAATCGTCCATTTTCGTGCGAAATCTAAGCGTCGATAAGGGAGACATTTGGCGTCGCGTTGTTCGAAGACAGGAATAGAGACAGACGACAACGAGATTCCAGCCGAATACCAGTTTGCTGGAAGTCGCGGCGCAAAAATTTCGATTAGCATACGCATCCTCCATTCGTAACCCAATAGCCTCTTTGCGGATAATTCCTTTCTCCTCTACTGTATATGCAAACATAAAAGCAGACACTGAAACTTTCGAGCGGCTGTGTTTCAACTTTTAAATTCAAACTCGTGCGACGCTATATATATACGTATTCTAACGATAAACACCAAGGACTGCCGAGGATGCCTATCTAATGTTATTCCGCGCGTCAAAGAAAAGTTTTTAAGTAACAATTTTCTAGTCCCCTAGACCGGAACCTCCAGGCGTTTTGCATGCCGTGCATCGTTATATTGTCAACGGCTTTTGTTTCCCAGCGTGTGTGACATGCGTGTCTCGCGCGAGTTATAGCGTCCTTCACGCCCGTGCAGTTAATTGCATCAAATGCATTCTACGATACGATTCGCGTCCGTCTCGTAATTTGATCCCGCTCGCCTTAGTTGATGCTTATTGCACTTCGTTCCGTAACATTTATAAGCAAAAAGATTCTAGGAAGCTTTGTGGTTTTACGTAGATTCGGACGTGCGATATACAGGGTGTTCCATCTACAACGGATCCACCTATTATCGTTATTTTATTTCTAAATTTCTCGTTCGAAGATGTCTGTAATTCGCGAATGTTATTTTAGGGGAAACGCCCTGTTATACAATGCATAAAATAGTGCCTTGAATTTCAGACGAGACTTCAAACATGTTAACTCGATAAAAAATATATTAACAAATATATTAACTAACTAGCTAACGAGCCAAGTTTTAGTTAACGTCGAGTCAACGTTCGGTTAACATTGGCTCAGCTTCGAGTTAACATTGGAAATAGCTGTAAAAGCACCCGTCCACAGCAACAAATGTTGTATTTCTGCAACGAAAATAATGCACCTATCTATTTTGAAAACCGAAATTACAGTCGCAACAATCCAACGTAAACTCTCGCAGAGTAATTCGAGCTTCGATGCAGCAGCGTTCGCCGAAAAGATTCCTTGGAACACGATTGAACAGAAATGACGGGAGAGGCTCGTGTACCCAGTCCCGGACCAGATGCATCCATCAATTATCCCGAACAATCCGCGACCCGAGGTTACGTGATTCGCGGCAAGAACGCCGGGAAGCGCCGACCCGGATATGTCGACGGGACGATGTTCACGAAACGAAACGAAACGAGACGAGACGAAACGGGACGAAACGAAACGAAACGAAACGAAACGAAAGAGAAATTGCGCGATCCTCCGCGAACTCTCGACATTCCTAGGGACTTTCTTCACGGGCGAACGGCTCCGCTGCGAGCGTTTCCTCGTTAGATAGCGCGGAGCGGAGCGGAGCGAAGCGGCGGCGGACGCGATAGGTCGCGTCCTGAACTATGTGTGCCACGCGGTGAAGAGGATACCCAGAGGTCTCCTACGGAGACCCTCCGTCACCATCGGGAAAGTGTGCCATCGAAAGGTCAACGTTTACTCGTTCTTGAGGAGAGGCGGACGTTTTCTTCTCCTTCTTCTAGCCGGCGCGCCGACTCGCGCCGCGCCGAGCCGGGATCGGAAGACCTTTGTGCTTGAAACGCGTTCGTCTTTTTCCTTATGTGTCCCCTTGTATTTCAAGCCCCGTGTACATTTGCTTCTACTTCCCTCTTTCTCTCTCTATCTCCTCTCTCTCTCTCCCTCTCTCGCTCTATTTGTCTCTATTTCTCACTCTATCTTTCTTTGTATCTCTCTTTCACTCTATTTTTCTTTGTATTTCTCTTGCTCTATTTCTCTCTCTCTCTCTCTCTCTCTCGCTCTTTTTCTCTCTCTCTCTCTCTCTCTCTCTCTCTCTCTCTCTCTCTATTTCACTCTTTGTCTCTTGTTTAGTCTCCCCCGTCACGCCGCCCGCCGTCCCAGCCCCGCGCAGTCCAGTTCGCTCCTTCGAATCGCGCAGCATTCGTCCGCCGATTCCCTTATTTGCTCGCCGCGGCGAACCGAGTCCGCAGCATCGGAAATTTTAAGCCGTTCCCCTTCGTCTCCGGTTCTCTCCCCATTTTTTTTGGCTTTCCTCTCGTCGCTTTTTGTCCACCCGTGCTCCTTTTGTCGGTTGTTTTCCTTCGGTCGCGGATTGAAGTCCGTCCGCTCGGTACGACAAACAATTTCCGAACCAGCTCTCCGAGATCCGCTGTTTCACCGGAGAACTGAC